AGGACCCCACCGTCCGGGATGCTGCTGTGTGGGTGCCCGTGTCTGACCCTGGGCATGGTGGCTCTGGGCCAGGAGTGTGGCCGTGAGAAAGCTGGCCTCCCTCGGCTTTCCTGGGCCAGCCAGACTGCTGACAGCCTCACCAAGTGTCAGCTGGAGCATCGCACACACTTCCTCTTGCAGTGGACCGGGCCTGCAGGTTTCCTGTGGGGGCAAGGTGGGGCCTGCCCAGGGCACTGCGGGAGCCCAGCCCATTGTGTCCCCTGCAGAGAACTCTGGGGGACAGAGACATAGAGTCTAGAGCCCTGAGATCCAGAGAGGCGTAAGCCAAGCCAGAATGGATGGCACCTGGTGATTAATGGAACCCAGGAGGAGGGAGACCTGGGGGCCCAGACTCCTCAGCTCAAGAGGGGCTGGGGGTCAGATTCCTGGGTCCGAGAGAAAGGGGAGGGGGGATGGGGAGGGTCTGGACTCCTGGGTCTGAGGGAACAGGGGCTGGGGGCTGGGCTCTGGCTTCCGGCCTGGCTGGCTCCTGGGCCTGGTCTGTCCCCCCACACCTATGAAACCCTGCTGACCCAGCCTCCCAGGGCAGGGCGCGGCAGGACTCAAGTAGGCCCTTGAAGGCCCGCGTGCTCTGAGCACTGGCCTCAGCTGCTGCCTCAGCCACCTCGTTAATTAACTAATTGCATTAATCACAGTGCCCACCCCACAGCGGAAATCCGGAGCCGGTCTGGGGGGTGAGCACGGCAGCACGAGGTATGGGGCTACGTGTCTGTGCCTGGATTTCTGCACCTGCTCTGGCCTCCCCAGTCCACGTCTGGGTGGTGGTCAGCAGCCGGCGCTGGGAGACCAGGGCGAGGCCCACTCCCTCCCCTGGCCGAGAATCCCCTTTTCTGCAGGGGCTTGGCTCACCCCGAAGGTCTCTCCAGTGTGTCAGACTCCTCGGGTGACTCCCGGACAGCTCTTCCTGGCTGAGCCCCCGGGACGGACCCCTCTCCACACAAATGTCTGCCTAGTCTGAGTTCACATCCCGATGTCTCTGTCTCTCAGAGACTCCGGCCTCCCCCTTTTTGCAGGTGCTATCTCCTGAGTCTTTGAGCTCTCTCTCCGGTGTCTCCTAGTGTCTTTTGTCTCTCCCGGGGTCTCTGTTTCTCTCTCTCTGCCTCTGGCCCTCCGTGTGTCCAGTTCCCAGGACCTCTGGTGGCTACCTGTCCCTCTCAAGGTCTTTATTACTCTTTTTTTTTTTTTTTTTTGGAGAGGTTTTCACTATAGGGCGCGTGCGCTCGCCAGACAGAGAGAGACAGAGAGACAGAAAGCGAGAAATCACCCCCTCAGGGGGGATGGTCACACCACAATCCCTTCTCCTCCATTCTCCTCTCGGGATCTTGGGCACGCACGCACATGCGCCCGGCGTGAGTTTTAAGCCACCGGGTCCGGGACGTGAACAGCAGTCGACTAGGTGGGAGTCCAGCGACATAGCCATTTCGCTAACTGCTGGTTCGCAAGGTCTTTACTACTCTTGTCTGTGCCTCCCGGTGCCCCGGTCTCTGTGCTCTGAATCTCTCACAGTCTCTCTCTCTCTAGTTTTGGACAAGGTCGCTCTACGCTCCCGTCCTAGCCTCCCGAGTCGCCGGGGCTATGGGAGTGCACCACTGCCCCGACTGTGACGGGGGCTGGAATCGAACTCTGGCCTCCTGTGTGGTCACAGCCTGCCCGGTAACTGGTGGTGCCTGCTGCAGCTGGCTGCCCCTCTATGGCTCCGCTTCCTGCCCCCGTGCCACACGATCCCCCCGTTGAACATGCTCAGACGGGGCTTCGAGCCCACTCCGAGCCGCGCCTCCACTGCCTGCCACTTCTGGGGCGTGTCCCTTAGCTCAGGAAGGCACCCCCATCTGCAGTCGTCCCTGTGTTCTCTTGGCCCGTGTCTCTGGCATGAGGTCTCTTTCTGGGTCTCCTGGTCTCTGGCCTCTGCATTTGATTGTTACAGGCGCTAATCTCTCGCCATCTCTGGTCCACATCTCTCAGGGCCTTGGTATCTCTGACCCTGGGGTCTCCTGCATCTGTGTGACACTTCCTCACCGCCTGGGCCATCTCACTGGGCCCTCTGTTCTCCTCCCCCTCCTGCTCCATTTCTCAGCATCGCTGGGACATTAAAAATGTAACAGTGTCCCAGGCAGGGGCGGGGGAGCTGGCCTGCGTGCCCAACACCCTGTCCCTCCCCAGTCCCCCACTCAAGCTGCTGGCCTTGAGGCTTGCCCATGCCCTGACCTCCCTGGGTCATGGCATCTCCGTCCTCCTAGGGCCAGCTGGGATCTTGGGGTTCCCTGCCTGCCACCAAACCTCTGTGTCTCTCTGGCTGTTCCTGCCTCCATCGGTGTCCGTGCCTAGCTCCCCTCCCCCGCCTCTGTCCCATCCCTGTGGCTGTGTTTCGTGCCATCTCTAATTCTGCTTCTGCCCCCTCCCATACTTCACTTCTGCTCTCCTCCTTGTGACCAGGTGTCCCCATCCCTGCATCTCCTGTCTGGAGCCCTCTCCCGGCCCCCCTCCTCTGCCCAGTCCCCCTTCCCTAACGAGAGGAGACAGCCAGCCTGCAGTCCCTCGGCTCCCCTCCCCCTCCACTCCCAGGCGCCTGGCTGACAGGGATGAGCGGGGAAGCTGGGGAGGGCTGGGAGGGGGAGCCAGCGCAGCAGGAGGCCCTGGTGGTGCACCCTCATTCCCTGAGGGGGCCGGGGAGGGGGAGGCAGAGGAGCTGGCGACAGGTGAACAGAGATGGGTGGAAAGGAGAGAGGGGATGGGGAAAGAGAAGAGAAAAAGAGCTGGGAGATGAGGAGAGGAGAGCCAGGGGAGGAGAGAGGAGAAGGCAGGGAAGGAGGGAGAGGAGGAGAGAGCGGAGGCCAGCCAGTGGAGAGTGGAGTAGAGGGTGGAGGGTCAGGAAGAGGGAAGGCCCCCTCCCCAGGTGCTAAGAGCTTTCTCCAGGGCGCTGAACCCTCCTAATGGCCTGCAGCCCTTAGCTCCGGTTTACAAAGGAGGAAATGGAGGCTCAGAGGCACTTCGAAGCCCACCCGGTGACGGTGACGGTGCTGGGGTGGGGCGGGGCGGTCTGGTAGTGGCGGGGTTAAGGGGGCTGGTGCCCACGTGACTGACCCCATGGTTCCAGTGACCCAGCAGCTTGAGAAACATGCCAGGCGCATAACACGCACCCAAAATCCCGAGAGGAGAATGAAGGAAAAGGGGTTGCAGTGTGGCCATCTTCCTGCGGGGCGCTTTTTCACTTTTTGCCACTCGGTACCTTAAAGTAAATTTAAAAAAAAATAAACTTAAAAAGGTGGGTTCTGCGGTCTTGGCTTCTCAGAGATCAGTTGTGGGTTCCTCGGCTGTGGGAAAGTGGCTTGTCCTGTCTAAGCTCGCGTTTCATCTGTAAAATGGGAACAGGAAAAGGATGTTTCTTACAGCCGTTTGGAACCTTCTGTGAGATCCCACACAAGAGACAACTGCTTTGATTTATGTCGTGGATTCTGGGCAACCGTCCGGAGGTGGGTTTTGATCTCACCTCCATACGTCTGCCACAGAAGGGGACTGGCAGAGGGTGGAAGAGGCCAGGAAGCCCCCAGCTTGGGTCAAGGCTGGGCGACAACTCGCAGACATCCTGGAGAAAACGAGGCCGGGAGGGTGATCTAAGCTCGCCTGTGTACCTTCCTGGGCAAACGGCTGGAAACCGGCAACCCAGAGTTTCTAGCTCGAAATAAACAGTCAGGTCACCTGCGAGGCGCGGCCCCTCCTTCACCTGTTTCTTATTCCCTCGCTCTCCTGGGAGCCGCCCCTCTCTAATGGGGTGGGGGGTCAGAGCAGAGAAAAGCGGGCAGAGTTAGGTCAGAGGCTCTACCAGCCCATCTCCCGGAGCGAATGGAGGACAAAGGTACCACAAGAGGAAAGATAAGGTCCCGAAACTAGGGAGTCCGGACCAGGAGCTGGGGGAGGACAGCCCCGCCTCTCTCTGGCTGGTGTAAGCGAAACTGGGAAAACTTCCCCGGGGACATCCCGACCGTCGGCGCACAGGGAAAGGGAGGGGGCTCCCAGCTCGGGACTTGCCTCCCGTTCTACCTGGGACCCCACAGATGGTCTCCAGCTTCCAGAGCCTCCCGCCCTTGCATCTCGGGCTCAGGAGGTAGGTTCCCTGCCCGCATCTGCATCTGGATCTTAGAAGTTATTCCTCTGCCCACGGTGACCCCTGAGGCCCACCAGATGGAACCTGCCCCCAGGTCCACCAGGAACCCAGAGTCCCCCACCTATCATTTCATGTGTAGCGTTTGAGTTCGAGCCCCTCCTGCCAGTCCTCCTTAGACCAGTTACAAAGCCCCTAAGCCTCCACTCCACCTTGGCACCCAGGAGACCAGCCCGGACCATCATTTTGCCGGAGCTCAGTGACCTTAGCCCTCAACTCCCTAAGGTTGGGGGTTGGAGCCCAGTCAGGCCCGTCCTCCCAGGCCGCCCCAACTCTCATCTTCCGCCCTCCTCTAGAAGATCTCAACATCTGAGCCCCTGTCCTCAGTTCTCCCCAGCCTCAGACGCCCAGCCCGGCAAGAAGGCAAAATGGGGAGTGGTCTCGCCTTATCGTCGGGATCCTCCAGCTTGGGTTGGAGGAAACATTCCCCACATTCCTGAAGGGTAGCTCAGACAGAAACCTAGATCCGGGTTAACTGATCGGCGCGGGGTGGAGACCCGGAGCAAGGCCTCCGGGAGACCTCGGACTTAACCTTTTCCATACAAGGGTCTGAGGAAGGGGCAGGGGGGAACAGGGAAGTCCGGCGTAGGATGGGCGGTTGGAATTAGGAACCGTGGGGTGGGGGGTGACGAGGATGTAGCGAAGAGGGCGAGCGCGGGAGGGTCGGAGTCGGTGGGGGCACCCGGGGAGGGCTCACGAGAAAGGGGCTCAGGCTTCTCCCGCTCAGAAGGGAGGGGAGTGGGAGGTCCGCGAGGGTCGGGGGCCGTCCGCGATCTCTCACCGGTTTCCCGGAGCAGTAGCAGGAGCAGCAGC